GAATTGGAAATTGGATTACCCTTTCGGACAACTTGTATCAGGTACTCGTCGTGTCGCGTGCAGAGAACCGACGAAGGAGTGCTATACTTTTGGAGCGGACCAGGACACGGCGGAGCAAAAGTTGGAGGAGTACCCAGCGTATGCCGATGAGCGTTGTGTCATGTCCGCGATAGTGAGGAACCGATTTCTCGCTGCCCGCCGTGATTCGGCAGATGGTGAGCAGTGAGAGATCGTGGAAAATGGTGCTCGCCTTCTGTGACATGGCATTGGAAAGGGAGCAGGAAAGTGCAGGAGAGGCGCGCCCAGTTCCGCCTCTCCTCCTTCCCCACTTGGACCGGGATGATGCCTGTCGAAAGGTATTGTCCCAATGGCCCTGAGAGATGTGCTAACATACTGGCGCGTCCCCCGAGTGGTGGTGGTCGCTGCCGGCGGAGATGTGGTGAGTGTGTGGTGAGATAGTACTCACCAATGTTTAATATATATATCAACTATTATTATAGTTTTTTAAAAAAAAAAAAAAAAAAAAAAAAAAAAAAAAAAAAGGACATTGTAAAATTGAAATTTGTATGGTTAGGCTTTCTTGATGTGGGCCATCCGCCCGGTGTTTAAATACTGGATGGATGAGCGGCGTAAAGGTCCACTGACCTTCCGACTGACACAGATACTGACCGGTCATTGTTGCTTCGGTCAGTACCTGTGTCAGATTGCGAGACGAGAGCCGACAACAAAGTGCCACGAGTGAGGTTGTGACCGGGACACGGCGCAACACGTATTAGAAGAATGCCCCGCATTCAGCTCTCGCTGCCGAATGTAGTTCGGAGAATGGTCAGTAGCGAGAGGTCGTGGAAAGCCGTACTCACCTTCTGTGACGCGGTGATGTCGAAGTGGTGGTGAGAAGGAAGCAGCCGAGCGGGAGCGTGAGAGTGCCTCCACCGCTCCCGCCATGCGCCGCCGACGAGTCAGGCGAAGGAGAGGGGGCGCGCCCAACTCCGCCTCCTCCCCCCTCCCCACTAGGGCCAGGGTGCAGTTTTGAGGGAGGCACACCCCACTAAGTTCCCTAGGAGGTGTGCGCACGTACCCGTGCGCCTCCTGAGACGGTAGGATGGGAAGGGCATTCCCCATCCTAAACACGAGAGGTGGCCTGCCCTACAACATCTACAGGGCGGGCCGTCGCGTCGGGCTCCGGTCGTCTTCAACTCGGGAGCCCGGGGACCTGACATATGCGCCTCGAGGTACGTCGTGAGGTTTTAGTGGGTAAAAAAATCCCACACACGCCCTCTGCCTTCCCTCCGGCCGTTGAGAAGGTCTTTGGAAGATTTCCTCACGTTAAAAAAAAAAAAAAAAAAAAAAAAAAAAAAAAAAAAAAAAAAAAAAAAAAAAGGCTTTCTTGATGTGTATATGTCCTGTATTAACGCGTCTTTTCGCGATCTCGCGACAAAATTCTAGATTATTATTATTATTTATTATTACATATTATTATTAGTTATTAAGTAAGTAAAAGGAATGTTTATTACCTTTAACACGATGCCGCCATTTTTTTTTTTTATTACATATACGGAATGATTTTAGACAGTTGAGAGCCTTAACTCTCCTATACGTTTTCTTAGCAAGCTAGCCATCTTAGTGTACTCAGTTTCTATTAGGTCAAAGGGGTTCAGGTCAAGGTTACGAGTCAAAGATTGTCAGCATCACAACAGAACAAATATTATTGCATTTCAACGTATGCTTGACCTTTTTCATGTACTAATGGAAAATAATACACATAGCGCTTCATTATATCATTTATTCCGTCACAATAGATAATTAGCTGAAATTGAGACGGTCCCCGGTGGTGTGCGGGTGCGCGTGTGTGTGCGCGTGCGCGAGCGCGAGGCGCAGGTGGTGCAGGTGCAGCCGGCGGCGCGCGCGCAGGCCGCGCTCGTCGCCGCAGCCGGTGAGCAGCGCGGCGGCGGCGGCGGCGGCGGCCGCGCCCACGCACCGCGCGCTCGCGTGCTCGCGCAGCCGCGCGCCGCGCCCGCCCGCCCCGCTCGTCACCAGCGTCTCTGTATCGATTTCGCCTGCAAATATTAATGGTGATTACTTAAAATATTATCTACTTTTATGTAACATGGAATAGTGAGCAATGACACTAACACCCTGGCTTATTAGCCACCTGGAATGGAGAAACTTAAGCGTAAATATAAATTGAAAAAAAAAAAAAAAAAAAAAAAAAAAAAAAAAAAAAGTCATACCGCATAGTTGCGGCCAGGGCAGCATCGGCAAGCTGGTGCAGTAGGAGTGGCGGACGCGAACACGGTGTGCGTCGCCGCCGCCGCCGCCGCCGCCGCTGCCGTGCTGCGGCGCACGCGCCGGCTGCGACTCGTCGTGCGCCTCCACGGTGGCTCGCGCCGAGCAGCGCGCGCCGCACTCGTACGTCACCGTGTACCGCCACGACGTGTAATTACTGAACTCCTGCTCCACAGACCACGCTCCACTGGAAACACGCAGCAACATCTTATGAAGCGGACCTCGTTAATTACTATGAAAACAATAGCCAAGTACAAAATGTGCTTACAGTAGTTTGACTGACGAAGTCAAACTCTCTGCATAGCTATAACTGTAACGGTACTGACCTAGATTTTAATATATATATACTACTAGCTGACCCGGCAAATGTTGTTTTACCATATACATTATTCATAGAAAATATTTTTTTCTCAATACAAAATAAAAAAAAAAAAAAAAAAAAAAAAAAAAAAAAAAAAAACTGTAAAGCTGTTTCAGAGGAGTTCGGTAATAAACACCGCGACACGAGAATTTATATAGATGTACCTAACTGTAAGCAGCGAGCAGCGATACTAAAGTGTGTAAGGACAGTGCACGTGTGAGATAGCGTACCGTTCGGGCAGCGGGTGCGCGGAGAAGTCGGCGAGCAGGTGCGCGAGGGCGGCGGGCCGCGCGCCGCTGAAGTCGGCGTCGGTGCTGACGCGCGCGGCGGCGGGCGCGGACAGCCGCCAGCACGCCAGCAGCGCCGCGCCGCCGCACACGGCCAGCGCCGCCCGCGCCCGCGACCGCGCCGCCCGCCCCGCCCGCCGCCACACCACGCCCCCCAACATGCCACCGTGCATCTGCGGCCACGTGCAACTGTTCATTGATCAGGACAAGCAGTAGCTTATAGAACAATGTTGCACGCTCAACATGCTTGTCTCGATCAAATCATTAGTAATGTTTTCAATGTTATAGGACATACACACAAGGTAGGATTATCAGATCATGAGACATGCCAAACGATCCATGTTCCAATTCTAAAAGAACAAAAGCCGAAGAAGATGTGGTTTAAATTTAAGCGTGACCATAACGAAGACAATATGAATAAATTTGTGCAATGTTTGAGTGGTTTCTCTTGGATGGAGGTTTTTGAAGCAACTAAATTAAATGACGCATTTAATTTTTTTTACGAAAATCTTATTCTTTTTTATAAATTATGCTTTCCTATGTATAAAATAAAAATAACAAGCAAATCTAAGAATTCTGAATGGATTACGAAGGGATTAAGAAAATCATGTGTCACAAAAAGAAAATTGCGGTTCAAATATTACAAGAAAAAAAAAAAAATCAAGAAAGTAGGACCCAGTATCGTAAATATGCTGAATCTTTAAAGCAATGTATATATGTAGCACAAAAACTAAATAATAAAAAATATCTAACTAAAGCAAAGAATATAAATAAGGCCACTTGGAACCTTATAAACAAACAAGATCAACTTTATAGGCGAGATAAATATATACATCGACTATATCATGACAATAAGATTATAACCAATTGTAATGACATATGTAACATTTTTAATGACTTTTATATAAATATAGTAAAAAAAAATTCATAATGACAAAATAAAACCGACTAAACTTACTCAAATAAATTATCAGAAAAACAGTATGTTTCTATCACCAACAACATGCGATGAAATATATAAAATCATCATATCTTTAAATAATACAGAATCCGTTGGATATGATGAGTTTCCAACAAAGTTATTAAAAACCTGTACACATATAATATCTCCAATTTTAAGTTATTTAATAAACTTATCTTTCATAGAAGGGACATTTCCAGATTTACTTAAAATTTCAGTAATAAAACCAATTTATAAGAAATATGACAAACAGTTAGTAGATAATTACAGACCTATTTCCTTGATACCAATAATAGCAAAGGTGTTTGAAAAGGCAATATATACAAGAATCGTTGCTTTTCTAGACAAATTCAAAATTTTAAAAAAAAAAGATGACCAACATGGTTTTCGTAAAGGAAAATCTACTTCTTTAGCTGCATTTAAGCTTATAAAGACAATAACTGAAAATATTGACAAGAACATTGACACAGTTGCAGTTTTCTTTGATATGAGCAAAGCATTTGATTGTGTATCCCATGACATTCTTCTCAAAAAATGTGAAAAATATGGTCTACGAGGACTTGTATTACAATGGCTAACTAGTTACCTAGAAAATCGCCGTCAATATGTCGAAATTAGTGGAATTAATGATCATGCTGAAGAAATACATTATAAATCCAAAACCTCTGTTAATGATGTGGGAGTTCCCCAAGGAACAATTTTAGGACCCCTGTTATTTATAATATATATAAATGACCTACCAAATGTAACTAAACACCAATGCACCTTATTTGCGGACGATTTTTCAGTAGTAATATCACAAACTCCACAAACAGATTTCAATACTGATATCTGTGATACTATTGCTAATGTTGTAGAATGGCTCGACTCAAATTGCTTAGAAATTAATATTGAAAAAAACGAAATATATGAGATTTTATAATAAAAGACCAAAAAGTGATCAATTAATAATTACAATTCGTGAAAAATTAATAAATGAAATAAAAGAAATTTCATTTCTTGGTATTACTATTGATAACCAATGCTCGTGGAAAAACCACGTAATAAAAATATGTAATAAATTAAACAGATTTGTCTATGCTCTCTGGAAATTAACCAAATTAGTAGATCAAAAAGCAGCAGTCATGGCATATCATGGACATGTGGCATCAAACCTTAAATATGGTATACTATTATGGGGAAATTCGGTAAATATTAACAGAGCGTTTATAACTCAGAAACAATGTATCCGTGCCATCTGTAATAAGCGACCTATGACACCTTGTACGCCACTATTTAAGCAGCTGAAAGTACTCACGGTTCCATCAATATACATATTGGAGTGTTGCCTCTTTGTGAAAAAACATTCTTATTTATTTGTAAAAAAAAAAAAAAAAAAAGATGACTACTATAAATTTACTATTAGACATCCTGGAAGGCTTAAGCTACCAAACATAAAAACACGTCTATATCATAGTAACAGTTATTCATCGTGTATAAGAATTTACAATAAATTACCAAATTCACTTACTGATCTGTGTTTAAAAAAAAAAAAAAAAAAAAAAAAAAAAAAAAAAAAAAAAAAAAAAAGGGTTTAAAGTCATTTTATGTAAATGGTTAATAACAAAATGTTTTTATACACTGAAAGATTATTTTGCAAGTAAAATGGACGACATTATATAATTGAATCTAGAATGTAGAATATTGTATGCAACACATATTTGTAAATGTATGACGGACGTAACCTACTGAAAAATAATGACATGCATGTATAATTTTACAATAATAATTTGAACTTCAATGTGGCTTTAGTAATATGACTTCTAATTAATAGTTGATTATTAATAATACATATAAAATGTTGCATGCCAAGCTGGCTGAATGTCATGGTTACACAAAATGTATAATGTTATCTAAACTTACCACATTCATCGCAATAAATTTCATTTCATTTCATTTCATTTCAACTAGCTGAACGAGGAAGCTACTTAAGCTACTTGTGATCATCCATCCATGGAACCATTTATTTTATAACATTTTATGAACCAATTGAAATAAATCAAACACTAAATGTTAAGTGGCAAAAAAAAAAAAAAAAAAAAAAAAAAAATCGTTTGAGTATATGAGAATCTCTGTATTCACTAATTATTGTTTTTTTTTTTTTAATGGGTGAAAATGGCATGGTAACCCCACCTGCGCTATTGGTATACACTGGCAGTGAGAGGCGATAGCTGAGGATGAAAAGGCAGGTCAGTTAGCTTATTGTCACGAATTCAACAATAAATTAGTCACGACAGTTTCCAGGGGGAACCGCGTAGAGGTCGACCTGTTAGGGTATATTGATAGCAATGGAGACTAACTTCCCCTTTACTAACAATCACTTCCCCCCTATTTATTGGTTGCTTACTTAAATGATGAGATCGTTGTGAAAATATCACTTCAACATGCTGATTCTTTGGATTTAAGTTCACCAAGAGACGGACCACGTAATACATTTCCAGTGTCACCCGATCATCTCGATATAACGATGTTTTCACAAAATATATGGTAAGTATTTACACGGAATATTAATATCTATGCAACTACCAAAAAAAAAAAAAAAAAAAAAAAAAAAAAATATATCTAATATAAGTAACACTAAATGCACTTTACTTTTAAGTATAACTGAAAACAAGTCCTAAATTACCTATTTGAAACACTTTCTAAATAATGCTGTGTATACCGGAGCAGACGTCCTATTTATATCTAAAGTAAACACGAACTGCACTGCGTCGCCATGTGGCGGAGTGGAGGCGTTCGCGGAAGCCGCTACAGTCTACAGATAGCAACATCCGCGCTCGAGTACTACTTGCGTCAGAGTAGTAGTCACTGCCTCCCGATAATGTAGTGCGCGAGTGGATATCGGGCAGCGTGCGGTCCGCGCTGCCGCTGCGTCGCCAGTCGCCAGGCGACGCCGCACTACACTACTGTACTATGACCTGCGAGCCTGCGGCCGACACACTAGCGAGCCGCGCCTCCCGCCGTTGGCCACACACATGCAGCCGTGCTAATTATATTTATATTTATAGAACAGGACGTACTTTGTTTCTGGCGAATGTTACGAACTATTTGAGTAAAATATCTATAAAGCTGTGGTGTATAGGTACATAGGTAGGAAGGATAACATCTGTGGCAGAGGGAGGAAAAGAATTGTTAGTAATGGACTCTAACTTACCCATTGCTAGCAATACACCCTATAAGGTCGACCTCCACACGGTTCTGCCTGGAAACCTTCGTGATTAATTCTAGTGGAAGTCGTCCCGATGAGCTAACTGACCTGCTTTCATCGTCACCTATCATCCCTCATCAGTAGCGGTCTCTCTAAAAGAGTATTGCACTCGTTGGTTGAAAACTTGTAAATATTTTCACTCACACATATAATTCTCTGGCTTTTGTAGCGGCGTGCCATGTTATCGTAGACAACCTATACGGCGTTTTGTCAGTCGCCTATTACGGCGAAGGGCAGTTCTCAGGATAATGGGCAAGTAAATGGTGTACTTATAGAATAGACGAAAAATTTGCTCATTTGTTTATTTCATTAGTTAAATTACATAATTAAAAAAATCATAGTATCGTCATCAATTGAACATGGCGTCCAGTTCGCGCCAACCAACACTCCAGTATAGGTAGGACATTATTACATTCAGACAAGCAACTTGGCTTTACAACCCATCCTAGGCTACAAGCACTGGACGTAACAAACTCCAGTCAATTTTTTTTAAACTAACTAGCGCATTGGTTTAGTAAAATTGTATGCCAATGTTGGAGTTTTCTATAATACATGTACCTCGTGAATGGTGCGAAATATACGAATAGAGTACCAATACATATACTCGTAGTATTGATCGCCACCATTCCCTTGGCGAGGAGCTGCGTCAACTCAGGTGTGTTTCCTATACAAAAAGTACTTATCACACTATTTATGTACATCACAACCTTTATTCATATAGGTACGAGTACTGTGCCGACTGCAATGCAAGTTATAGGCAAGAATTAATTTGTTTTTAATTAATACTACATTATAATATAACTTAGGTATAGAGACTTGTTCATTATTAATCAGTCGTCATCTCCAGTCCTTATATCTAACATTGCAGTCATAAGTTATTATCGTGACACCCCACACGTGTACCTATCTCTCTCTCTCTCTCTTCAACTAAGCTACAATTTGTTCATTCTTTGTCGTCATTCGAAATTACACACACACACACACACACACACACACATATACGCACACAAACATTTGAGTACGTGTTCATTAGCTATAATAATTTTTTTTCTAAAATAAAATACTCAATAAATTCAGTTGTGATGATATCAGACGTATGCAACACAACTACAAAAGGCTCCCTGCCTTTGATAAATGCCGCCGTGCGCTCACGACTGCACCACTTCATGCCACAAGATAATCGTGCCGCGAAATTTATTTAACATTAATGTATATATATAGCTACAATTTATAATACATAATGAATGTCTTTAGGAGATGTCACAGTATCATACAATGTATGCGGCGCCATATTCGTGCTAGGCGTACTTGTTAATAAATATAATTGAATACAATCGAATGTAATGTAAAATAACTCCACTATAGAGCCGTGTGCACTATCGAGATCGCCGCGAGCCGCCGCGCCGCCGCGAGGGCTGCGGCCCGCGCAGTTTCATTACGAGTACACTAAATATATCATTATATCATAATTTATATAAATCTCAAAAAAAAAAAAAAAAAAAATGAGTCCATTCTAATTGCAGATATGAATAAAATTTGTTCCGTGACCACATATTGATTTTAGTTATAAGTATGTTTCTCTGATAGATGTTATGAAATATCCACGTATTAATTGAACTCGTCAGAGCAGAGATATTAATTTGACTAAGTTAAAGCTATGCAGCAAAGTATAAAAATGTGAGTCACAATTTTTATGCTAGCCATTAATTAAATTAGAAAAATTTACTTGCAACAATAATCGACACAGACTATTGTCCAAGTTCAGATATAGTATTTATCACCGTACTGCGTCCTGTACGCTGCTCTAGTGATCACAGATTTCCTAGACACCACGGCTTGCAGCGGTACACCCCGTGCAGTCGGCAATAGTACACAGAATACTTGCACTCGCTTCTCAAACATATTTTACTATTCCATTACTACTAGTTTCAGTCATTTGTAAAAAAATAAATACATATTACATCTTATAAATTACGATCATCGAATGACTCCCACAGTTCATATGTACACTTGAGCATACTATTTACAATTTTTCTTGCAAAAACAACACAAACACTTCTAATTATTCAGACGTGAGAACATTTATTGACACAGTTTCTAGACGCGCACAGAGGTGGCTCGGAGTGAGAGCTCCTGTCGTCGTTCTCCTCCGGGCGCCGTCTCAGGTACATCGTGACGCAAGTACTACAACAGTACACACAAAATGTTTGAACGATAACATTCCATCACACAAACGAGTGGGACGCCCGGCGGCGGTCACGCGGGCGGCGGCGGCGGCGGCGGCGGCGGCGGAGCGGCGGCGGCGCCCGGGCCGCGGCCGGCCGGCGAGCGCTACCGGCGGCGGCGGCGGCCCTTGCGGTAACCCTTGCCGTACCAGCCGCCGTCGTCCACGGGCTCGGCGTCGGCGGCGGCGGCGGCGGGGCGCGGCGGCGACTGGCCGTCGCCGCCGCAGCAGGCGCACAGGTAGCGGCGGCCGCGCACGCGGCGCCAGGCGCGGCGCTCGGGCGGCGGCGCGCGCGGCGGCCCGTACCACAGGCAGCGCCGCGCCTGGTAGCGCGCCCAGCACCACGCGCACTCGGCCGGCGGCGGCGGCGGCGCGGCCGGCGCCAGGATCGTGTGCAGGCCGGGGTACAGCGACGCGCGGCACACCAGCACGGCGCGCGCGATGATGGCGGCCGCCACCGCCGCCGCCGACTCGTCCTCGCAGTCGCGCTCCGCCTTCGGCTCGCGCTTGGGCTCGGCCCCGGGCTCGCTCTTGACCGGCAGCCCGTTCCGGTCGGCGGCGAGCAGGCGCCTCAGCTCCGAGCCGAGGTTCCAGGGGCCGATGTCGCCGCCGCCCTCGTCCTCCTCCTTTTTCGGTTTTATCACTAGCGGCGAGGCGGTGCCGGGCTCGTCGCGGCCGTCGACGCCGGCGTCGGGCGCGTGCCCGTTCGCGCTCGCATCGAGCCGGAGGTGGGCCCGTTCCTCCGCACCGTCGGGTGGGTGGCGCGACATCCTGAATTGCCTCAGGACGCTGACCGGTCGCCGCTCGGTCGGCGCCGGAGTCGAGCCGGAGCCGGGCTGCATCGCGGGCGCGTGCTCTGCGCGTAAAAGTATGGTCGCTTCCCCGGAGCGCATATTCACCTTTAAGGAGACAAAATATACATTGGAGAGTTTACTTTGACTAAGAAATTGTCAATCGATGGCAAGTCGTTTTAAATAGTTTTTATTTTTATCTTTGTATTTTTATTTTTATATCTGAAGGGATTCACAGTTATCGATGTTCACTCGTATAAATAAAATGGGATCACTACGTGAACGGGCACAAATTAAAAATAAATAAATAAAAAAACAGATAAACGAGAACAAAATACCTGGAAGGCGTGAAGCAAATCCGGCGGCGGCGGGCGGCCCCGGAGGCGGTCGGCGAGGCGGCGCAGGGGCAGCTCCTCGTCCGAGTCGGAGGCGGAGGGCGAGGAGAGGTCGGAGGCGTCGGACAGGTCGGAGGCGGCGGGCGCGGGCGCCAGCAGCAGCGGGCGGCGCGTGGTATGCGCCTCGGCCGCCGCCAGCGGCTCGGCGTGCGCCAGCAGCGGGTCCCGCGCGGCGCGGTAGCGCGGCACGCGCAGGCGCAGCCGCCGCGCCACCTGGCGCATGACGGCGTCGCAGCGCGCGTTGATCTTGAGCGCGGCCACCGAGTCCTTGGGCGTCCACTGCAGGTTGACGATGTAGAGCGCGGGGCGGTGGCGCGGCGCGGCGTGCATGCGCCACAGCCGCGGGTAGCGGCGCAGCACCTTGAGGCTGGAGCCGAGGCACAGCACGACGTCGGCGCGCGCGGCGTGCCGCAGGGCGCCGGCCCAGTTGAGCGGCCAGGCGGCGCGGCCGCGCTCGCCGAAGTGCACGATGGAGTCCCGCAGCTGGGCGCCGCACGCGTGGCACAGGCGGCGCGTGTGGTGCGCGTGCCGCGCCGTGCGCTCGGTGGTGTCGAACGCGCGCAGGTACACGCGGCGGCACGCGGCGCACAGCTCGGCGAACATGTCGCCGTGCAGCTCGGCCAGCGCGCGCCGCGGCAGCCCGGCGCGCACGTGCAGCCCGTCGCAGTTCTGCGACGCCACGAACTTGAGCGTGCCGCGCGCCCACAGCGCCGTCAGCGCCATGTGCGTGAACGTCGGCCGCGCCCGCGACACCTCCACGCGCCTGCCGGACCACACACGTTTCGCTTTTATGCTATACTCGTATTGTTACCAGCGGACGAGTGACACTGCTAAACGAAAACTGACAGAGTTTCAATTTAAACATGTCAAACAGATTCGTTGAATATATTTCTATTATGCAATAAATAAAAGAGATAATTCTCATATGAAATAGAGTAGATTTATTCAAATATTAAATGGTTTAAAAAAAAAAATATATTGTAGCTCTATGCCTGATACCAATTTTCCACAAAACTCTACACAGAACACTCCTCTCCCTTGCAATCCACAAGTCCAGCGGACCTGATAGTATTCCTCAAATTGTGCTTAAATTCCAAAACTCAAATCCTTACACATCTTTTTCTGCTGTTTCTCATTAGGTATAGTCTCAAAGTTTTGATTGATGGCCTTTACTAGATTAGGTTGGCTGGAAGGGAACTCTTGTAAAGTTAAAATGGCCTTTGTGCATTTGCTTTTCACTGTTACATTTCTTTATATATTATTAGCATATATCATAAAGTATAAAAAAAATATTATAAAGAGTATATAATCTAATTTAAAGTGAAATATACCAAAAAAAGATTTATAAAATGACAAACATTTTTTTATGATTGCTAAGTAAACAAATCATCATAGTTAATAGAGACATGGGTAAAATAAAAAGCAAGCATAGAATGCTGTCCTGCATCTTACGATTACACATGCTCTCCGAGTGATGCACAACCACACTGTTTAAAGGAAATAATGTATAACAGCCAGAGAATGCCTAATTAGGGAGAATATGTATGTTCACTCACCTGATATAAAAACCAGACTGGATATTTCCGAGTATCTCAAGCATAATATATGACAGGAATTAACTCAGTTCTCAAGGACCAGCCTAGTATATTAAAAAATATGTTTCTTTCATTATCATTATAGATCTCTGAAATTCTTCATCTTTGCTATAATATATATACTACTACACTACTGCTCGAAAGTATTTGGCCACCTGCATTTTGTTTAATTTACAAACAATTTACATTTTAAAGAGATCATTTATTAGGTTTCATTATTTGTATAACACAACAAAATACTTATCCACAGTACAATGGTAAACAGCTTATTGTATTTGCCAACTCCTGGTCATAAAAGGGTAAAAATGTTATTGTCGGAATTATTAATCTTTGAGTTGCAATTTTGTTTTGATTTAGTTATTGAGAAGTAAACAAGTAAAATATAGAATAACTACTACAATAATATTTTTAAGTTTGTTATCTGATGTCATTTGACCAGAAAACTCACTCTCCATAGATCAGTACTTAACGTCTACCAATATTTTTTTGTTTTCATTTTATTTTGTTAAGAAAATGGGTAAAACTAAGGAATATTCCCAAGAGTTCAGGAGCATAATAATCGGCTTTCATAAATCCGGTAAAAGTAATAGTAAGATTTCAAGACTACAGAAGATACCAAGATAAACTGTTGACTACATCATTAAGAAGTTTGCAGCTGAAGAAACAATTTACAAAAAATGTTGCTCAGGCAGACTGTGAGCCACAACTTCGAGTGAAGAATTGAGTATAGTTATTAATAGCAAAGGAAATAGATGATTAATTGCATTAGAAATGGCAGCACTTTTATATAATTAAAACACTGAATTAGATGATTTATTGCTTAAGTCTTATATTTTCACATTTCACATACACTAGGTTAAGCACAAGTGTTCATTTTACAGTTCAATCAAGGAATGCCCAAAAGCTCCAAAACAAAGGGGCAACTATCAGCATTAGTTTCATAGGGGACATAATTCTTATAAACAAACAAATGGTAACAAATACATAAAAGGAACATTATGTGTCATTGTTTCTGTAGTTTAAACATCTCGCCATTATCTGAGCCCAACTTAGAGACCTGACAATAGGTTCACCATTGTTTCTTATTCTGCTATCAGCACACAGTATTTTGATTACCAACCTGAAGTAGTTTCACTCAATCAGTCAGATTTACAAAATGTATTTTACAGGTGGCCAAATACTTTTGAGTGATAGTGTATACTATATATATATAAATCTTTCAGAAGAAATTTAAATGATAGTGTAAACCATTTGAAAATTTATAACAGTCTAGATGAAGTAAGCAAAGAAACAGACACACACAGTAAGTATGCTTTATTCGGAGATAATAACTTTGTAATATATATATATATATATTATCATCACCTATACAATTAACACACACCTTGGCAAACGTTCCCGATGCATTACAAAGCCAGGACAGCCCCGACAGCACTCTAAACACATTATTATACTGGACTTGCAGGGTGCTGCACTGTTTCTGAGTATAACAAGCCCACACACTACTCATGTAAAAGCATGTACAAAATGTTCTAAAAAGAGTGATTTTGATATCCCTCGAACAATATGAAAACCTACGAGCAATCATGTCGGCCCTCACAGACAACGCCCTACACTCCCTCTATGTCCACATCGAGAAACTATATGAGAAACTTGGCATGAAAATAAATATAAATTATTTATAAAAAAATATTCTGTATCTGTAAACTGCTTGTTGTCCTACAACACCAAGTATAAATAGAAACCACTCACCCTACGGTCTCGCCCCGCTGGAGACGTGTCCATACTCCATGCGGCCCTCGGTAGTCAGGAATATCGGCAGCGGTACTGATGCCCGCGCCCGTATAGACCTGCAACGGTCATGTCGTTTTGTAGCCATTCAGTATCCTAAGTGAAGGCACGAGATAAAAAAATAACGATATTCAACTCACGACAAGATGCTTAGCGTTGCGCAGGGCGCGCGCCAGCCGGCGGCACTTGTCGCGCAGCACGCGCGGGCTGTCCTCCACTTCGCGGGCGCGTTCGGCGGCGCGGGCGCGGCGCAGCGCCGCCGCCGCCGCCGCCTCGGCTACGGCCAGCGGCCTCTTGTTCGCGGAGATACTGGCTCCGTTTCCATTTGTACCAGTCGAGGAACGAGTCGCTTCACCGTTGAGTCTAGCGCTGCAGCGTAATCCACCACGACCCTCCATAGTGGTGGTTAATATTCGTGAATCTCCATTTCGTGGTTTTCACTCATATTAAATATTTGCAGAATTGTCTTTCTCAGGTGGGGCATGATGTCGGTGAGGAAAAACAATCAAATCTCAATATAAATAATCTGTCATTCGAAATCGTCCAACCAATCCATTCATCCGTCCTTCCCAGTGTTGCCAATTTGGTGTCGAAACTGTCGAATTTTATGCTTGAATTAAACCAAAAGCATTTAGCTAAAGTCAACCGAAACCCTAAAAATATATAAACAAAAGATAGCTTAATAAAGTATGATACTTATTTATTTGATTTGTGACCGACCTTTTCACGTATACATATCTAATTTTAAAATATTTCCATTTTTTTTTTATATTAATAAAGAGCTGATATTGCCCATTATGCCATTAACAAACGAAACGCGATATTGTAAAGGAACGATAATGATTTTGATATTAGTGATAATTATAGTTTGATGCTATTATGAGAAATTAAGGAGTTAGAAATCAAAGTGTCAGGATGATGTTTCATATTTAAATACAAAATTTGTACTGAACTTAGTGATTGACGTAATAATGTTCGAAATATTAATTTATCGATATTTGACTTCGAATCAGAATTCTGATTATTAAATTCTGTCTATATTGAGAGGAAAAAATAAATAAATACCTTATACAGACAAACGTGGGATAGATTGACCTCCTACTAGTAAAAGTAACGACGGTGCATACAATTACACAAAAGAATTACGACGACATGGATAAATTTAAGTAATATGCGGTACCTAATACATAAAATATTCACCGTATAAAAGTTTCACATCTGCCATTTTTTTTTTAACGATACCATCTGTCTAAATTATTGAAAAACGTTACTCATATGGAAATGTCAAAAAATCTATAAGTGTCGAACTTGTATAAGCAAACGTACCTATTTCAGGGCGATCTAGAGAAAAGAGATTGTTAGGAACGGACTCATACAGCCCCATTGCTTGCAAAGTACCCTATCAGGTCGATTTTCACGCCGTTCGCTCTAGAAACCATCGTAATTAATTCTTGTTAAATTCGTCACAATGGGCCAAATGACCTGTCTTTATTGTAACCTATCACCCTTCACTGGTGCCCGCCAGCGTATACCGTTAGTGCAGGCGGGGTTACCATCCATTATCATACATTAAAAAACTACACACGCACACATTGTCATATGTACAGACGATACTAATTTCTGTAGTCGTGGCAATCACGAATCTTGATGTTTTTTTACGAAGTGTCCGTGGTAAGATAATAAGATTTTTATTATGTTTCCAAAATAAATACACCCTAATTAATACTATGAAGTTTTAGTGTAAACAAACATTAATATCTAAATAATTTGATTCCGATTTAATTATCTATGAATATGTCGAACACTATAACATTTATAACTGAGTTTGTTACAAGAACAAGGAATTATATTAGTGTCCGGAAAATGTTATACGGCCTTGTAACCCTACCAAATTCAGATACAATCTGCTTGCATTGCATACTTTCTACATAAACTGTGTCGAATATATAATCTAGTAATGTAAAATTTGTTACTGTCAAATAATTGACATATTAAACATTTTCTATACACTAACCTACTATAAATTGAGAAAAATAGTAACTGATGGAATATCTTTCGTCCTCTTTTTACTAATTACATTTGCATAAGAAGAAAGGAGGCAACCATATGATTTACAGTTTGATTTTATCATTTCTTTATTGTAATTTCTTGTTCTTAGGCTCGGTACTAGAACAAATTTAACTATTACTATTATTCAAATAATTAAAATTATTATAGGATTCATAGTAAAATTTTATTTTCTAATCGTTTACGACTCGATTAAAGTTTTTTTTAATGATATGGATCCATCGGGGCTCTGATGATTTTGCCAATGTCAAGTTGGAAGAGACACTACAATTTTGTGTTGCGATAAGATTTCCTTTTAAGTGCTCGTTGAGTATTTATGCCAGGTATTTTTCAGGAAGAATGGTGTATGATAGTTAAATGTTAAAGGAACATATTATAGTTTTATATTATTTTGAGACAGATTTTTTTAGAACATACATTAAAGGAGAAAAGACCAAGGTTAATAGATATTTAACGTTAACAGGGCGACAAATATTTTTGGGGAGACTTTCATACAGAGGAAATGATATATGGGGCGATTAAAGTTAATAATAAAGTCAATTATATGTCAATGTCAAGTATCGGCCACATGTCACTGTCAGTACACAAAACTAGAGAAATATACTTTTTTTTTCTTTTTCCTTGAACAGTTTGACAGGTGGGTAAATACTTTGTTTTGTAATTTTAATAAAATCGCAAATAATCCAAAATTTGATATATTATTTATAAGCATCAAGGTTTAAAATTCCTTTTTAATTTATATTTCTACTCCGTGAAAATATTATTTTTCATTCTGTTTTTTATTATTTCAGTGTGTCTGACGAATTGTTCACCATGGTAAGTGTTCTTATTTATTTTGTTTTTATTCTGTATACAAAAATGCAACACTTAGATAAATAGTTAGTAATGGTAGAGTTTCATTTTTGCTTTGAAGCAATAATATACATTGCTTATGTTTCGTTCTGAGGAGTAGGCTGTTCTCACTGCTATGAGTCGCCGGCACATCTTAGTCTTGACTAGTAGCAATGCATTCAAAATTATTATACTTTGTCATTTCCATGGTCATGGAATAGACCTAAACAAGTTCAAGTCTATAGACGACCACTACTCATTTTCATCAGGTGGTCCATTTGCTGGTTCACCTTTTTCAGTAAATATTGAATGAAACTGATGTGTTTCCATATCTAATATTATCTTTTGTGATCATATTTTAATTTCTACATGTAAATTAATATCTTAAAATTTTTTATTTAGTTGAATGGCAAACAGTCCATCCGATGGAAAGCAGTAACTGTAGCCTGTAGACATAAACAGTACCACCAACATGCAATATTAATACTTCAAAAGCGTTGCTTATAAAATTCTTATTATTTTCTTTACAGCCACGTGAAATCAAGGATATCAAAGACTTTTTACTGAAGGCGCGGAGACCAGATGCTAAATGTGAGTTATTTTACAATGTCATCACTGGCCTGCCTTACCTTATACATTTATTTTTTATGAATGCAACCTAAAAAAGTTCTTTGTATAATTAGGAGGAAAAATTACCAAAATTAATTGTCTTTTTTAGTTAATCTACTATAAACAAACTCAATAACCATAAATTAAATAAACAAACATAATCTCATCTTTTCCCTTTATGATACTAATTTAGTTAAATAGGCCTTTTTGTTGGAATTACCTTTGTTGCTAGTGTAACATTTCTTATAATAACATTATTAGCAGCTTTAATTTTTTGCCACTAAATATTCCATACCAACAATGAATAGTGTTTTAAGTTATTGTAATTTACAAGCCAAATCAAATGTAAATGTATATTTCAGCTGTGAAAATAAAGAAGAATTCAGAGAATGTGAAGTTCAAAGTGCGCTGCTCCCGGTTCCTGTACACGCTGGTCATCACAGACAAAGAGAAGGCAGAGAAGCTCAAGCAGAGTTTACCGCCAGGTACCATGGGAATTTTGAACTATGTGTTGCTGGGAAAGATTTAAAAATAAAAACAATATCTTACTAATATAATAAAACTCTTAACTGAAGGATATCTGTTCATGGGATATATTTAAGAAAAAAAAAATTGAGGGATTTTAATAAGATAAGTGAATAATTTTTAGATATTTTGTTTATCTATCTGTATGTATGCTTGTTTTGGCATCATGCAAAAACTACTGCAGTAAATTGGTTCTTTTTTACAGTTGTGTTCCTGAAGAACTAATTAAAAAACTGGTATAATTTTTATCTTGAAATAGATGCATACAAAGTAGCAGTTAAAAAGTTAGTATAGGAAGACCCCGCTTAACACGTAGGATACATTCCAGTAGTAGTAACATTCCAAAATTGTTACCATGAACAGCGCAGAATATTGTTAGTCAATAAATTACATTTGATTAGGAGTCACGCCAGTAAATCTTAATAATTCCATTTGAAACGCTTCGTGTGGTCATCTTATAATTTTAATACAATATTTCAATGTGTTGTTGCAGGTCTCCAAGTTAAGGAAGTAAAGTGATGTATTAAGTGTAAATAAAAAAAGTTAAAACCCATTTTTCGTTTTATTTACTGTCTTTTAAACTACATAATATTACTAGCTATATTCCACGGCTTTGCCCGCGTGAGTCAGTTCTGTTTAGCGTAACAGTTGACAGAGGCGGGCTTTGAGCTTAAGTTTAGACAGATTTAAACAATCTGACTTAAATTTAAATATCAATCTAGTGTTGATTTTTCTCGGAACAATTTTGACTTTTAAATATGAGATTCTTTGCAATCAAATCAAAAATGCAATTAAATGTAAAATCCACAGAGCTAGTAATCACTACGATATAATAGAATCTAAAGATTTTGGATGAATGGGGTTCCTTCTGTTTTATAGTTTTTGTATAGAAAAATAATTTGAAGCACTTTCACAGAAATTACTGAGATTTTGGAAGTAGCTGGCATGCATATGCGAATAAGTTGGTCGGTTTATTTCTACATGGGTGTCGTACATCACGCATTATTAGTGTTACTATAACCAGTCGCTTGTATAAATAAAAAACATTATAATCAAGATAGCAGAACAAATGAAAAGTACTTTCAACAATGTTATATAGTTCGATGAGTATAATGCAGTTATCAAGAAGTCAACACAATTATCATTTATCTGCCAAGCAGCAGACGGCTCCCTCTAGGCAAGAACTTTGGTTTTTCACAAAGTCATTGGCATTCTGCAATAAGGTAAGTTTGTTAGACAAAGCGTATTGTTCAAGTTTCACTCCTCGGAACGCATGTGCTGTCTGTTTTGTAAATTTGTTAAATAAAGAGCCTAGTTCAATGATTGGCTCGACCGTAAATCTTACGGTTGTGTCCCGGACATATATAAAATTAAGCTTCATCCCAATCATCTTGACGAGTGGCGGTCTTCCACCGTGCGTTTTTCAAGGCACTTTCTTCCACTCACAACCATTCTTTGGAATCAACTTCCAGCAGCAGTATTTCCAAACTGATACGACAACATAACCTCCAAGAAAAGAGTATATTCCTTTTTAAAAGGCTGACAGCACACATGCAATGCCGCTGGTGCTGTGGGTGATCATGGGCGGCGGTAGTCACTTACCATCAGGTGAGCCGCATGCTCGTTTGCCCCCTTTATTGTAAAAAAAAAATCTAATTTAATTTTAAAAAAATTATGAAGTTTTAAACATTCCTTCGGTAAAATATTTTATGATGTACTTCTAGGTTCGGTAAATAATTTTTTGTATAGGAAACTAAATAAACATAAAAATGTTTATTAGAAGCACCTTCTAATAAAAATAACGGTAATAATTTCGCACAATCAAGATGCGGGAAATGATGTTTCCAACTAGTCACAAGCTGCCGACGACACGCTACGTCGTTACGCCGCCGCCACAATTTAACAGTTACCGCCACTTGCGAAATTGAATATAAAATTTCCATAAAGAATACGGCGAAATAACGCCGAGGTGGTTTGTTGATTATATTACATACTCGTACGTAGCTCGGCCTGGGCCGCCGCCGCCGCGTCGGCTGCTCATGTTTTTATTTACAATATTCACTGGCGCTGTCAACCACTGTTCATAATATTTTATTGAAATATATATACATAATTTTCTTTTTTTCTACACACATTTATGGTACTAGTACTGTATTATCTGTGTTTATAGTTAGTAATATCAGAGACTAAATAACTCAATACTGTAGTATGATATACCGAGACCTCTATATTTCGCCACAGAGAGCGATAATTACCTGCTTAGATCGACTCCTGCAACACACTCGAGGTCGTCACCTCATCTCGTGGAGAGGCGCCGTACACTGCATAATAAATATTCCTGCACATTATCACGCAGCGCAATCCATTTAGTTGCAAACTAAGTGTAGCCTGTATTATAGGTACCTACTAGATGACTGAAAGACATGCTTATATATATTATTTAAATAGTTACGTAGAAAACAGAAAACGCCCGAAGCGTATTTAAGAGAGGAGGGGGAGGTAAAAATAGGCGCATATGTACTCTCAGACAAGTCGTAAAGCTTCACTTGCATCCTGGGGTGGGCACCAGCAGATACCGCTATGCATCCTCTAAATATGCCTATGCACCTAGAACAATACGGACCAACATACTGGCGTTTGTATGTGAAGGGATCTAAACAAGGAGTATCAGGGGGAAGAAGGGATTGTTAGTAATGGGGATTAGCAAACCCTTTGCTAGCAATATACTCTGTCAGGTCGACGTCCACGGAGTCCCCCCTGGTAACCATCGTGGTGAATTCCAGTATATTCATGAGAATGGACTAACCGACCTATCCTTCCATTCTCACGTAGTATTCCTCACTAGTGCCCTGCCAGCGTATACCGATAGCGCAGGCGGGGTTGCCATACCACAATCCAATAAAAAAGTCCACATGGGCATAACGTTACTTCGTGATGTGATGTCCATAGAAATAGGCGACGCGACCGCCGCACCACTGCATCAGCTGGTTACTGCTTTCTGTAGGAAGTGTAGGTTTAATTTAAAGTTTAGTCGATAAAAAATAATGTGATACGCTCACGTTTGTCATTTGTGGTATAGATGGGGTAGTTAGACTGAGACATGTAGTTAACTATTACAGTTTTAGTAGAAACGAGAATAGACATGAGATTGTTAGTAAAAATTAAAACGTACATATGTAATTAGGCATGTAATAAATGCAATTGCATCCTTATCAGATTCCTAAGTCTAACTTCCCATCTGTCTAATTGGTAAAATTTTGTGATTATATGCAGGGCCGTGCCTGACGGGCGTTCATTGCGTGCACCGCACGCAGGCGGCCGAAATTAAGAGGCAGCCAAATCGTTACAAGTTGTTTACTGGGCAAAAATACAATCGGTTTGTTTTCATTAAGATACGAAGTTTGATGCCCTGTGTATAATAATAAACATTAAAAATTAAAGTAGTTTTTTTTAATGTTATCCTGGGGGCGGCCATACAGACTGGCACGCAGGCGGCCATATACCCAGGCACGGCCCTGATTATATGCATGTTGGGTCGCTATTGCTGGATGTTTGCGGTGCCTAGTGCACCATCTCCTCGTGGCGGCGGCGGCGGCGGCGGCTGGCGGCGGCGGCCGGCGCGGCGGCAGAGCCGGCAGTCCGTCTCCGGCCGGCGAGCCACGAGTCGGGACGCAGGTGTCGCGCCACGCGCTCTCGTCGCGACTCAGCCGCATCTCCGAACCGCTCCGCCAAACTTGAACATGAGTAAACGCATACAGTGGCCGAGTGCACTTCTCAATTTATTAATCAGTTCGGATTAACTAGCCCCTCGTTCGTATTTGTAAGTAAATATTGACGTCGCATTACTTATTTAAAAAGTAAGCATAAGTGAGTAGAAAAATATAAGCGTAACTAAACTAAGTAATTATTTAGTACAAAAAACAAGTGTCAAGTTATAAAAGGAGACTGATAATCTAGTATGGTATATATATATTTATTGCATTTGTAAGTTACATAGATAAGAGTTATAAATATTTTGTGCAAGTAAATTTAAATAAATAAAAATATAACTAACTAAATTACATTTAAATATGATTTTTTTTACTCATAATGATTACCATTAGCTAGGTTTCTGTAATAAATAATAAAGTTTATAAACTTAATTTTGTTCCATAATTATCATCATGTAGAAATAAAACAAAGATTTGCTTAATATATGCAACTGTACTCATTAAATAAATAATTAAAAAATATATTTTATGCTGTCGTTCCGCAAAGACATACTTACCTGTCCCTCTACAGTAGTGGTGAAATTAATGCGGCACTCGCACGGCAATTGATGAACATCTAAATCGAATAACAATTCTAAGATTTCGTGTAACATAAATCTGTCAAATTTTTAATTTTGCGAAATTATACCCTTTTATTTGAAGCGACTTCAAAAAGAAGTGCGGTTGTATGTAACCACAAAAGTCGTTAAGTTTCATAAATTACCTAACTTCGATGAATTTATTATGACGTCATTATTTTTTAATCAACTTTAAAAGGAAAAAAGGTTTGGGCTCTATTTTGCTATATGATATTTTCGCCGATTGTACACTGATATCGGTGATTCTTTTTAATCTATAGGCATTTTCGTACTATTTCTGCTCGAAGTTTGAAATAATTAACTGTTGAACTTTTTACCATATTCTGGACTAAACTGTAGGCAGCTATAAGTTTTCTCTATTAAATGTTCGACGTATAAATATCTAATACTATTTAGAGAAAATAAAATATTTTTTATTTCTGTCTTTTAAAGGATTATGATTAGATATCAATAGAAAATTGTTATATGATGCTGTGTGTGATATATAGTTATGTATAGGTAGGCAGGTGTAAATGTCCATTTTAATAATAAACTCTACCTCTCATACCTATTGCAAAATAAAACAAACATACGAGGGTCGATAACTTTTAACTGTGGCGTCATTGACAACTCAATCGTGGTAAAGAGCAGATTTTATTGTTAGGGAGGCAGCTGACAGAAACAGTTCCGTGGCTCATGAACACTTGCAACACGAAAGGATTGCAACTTGCAACGAGAAAGGTGGGATTGTGCGTTTGTAGGCACGTTTTTTTCCAAATGGCCCATATTATATTGTAAGGGGAACACTAAAATTTTAGATTAATATATTACTGATTTTATAAATGAGGTGTTTTTTTTTATTTGTTTGTTTGTTAGTTCTTAGCGCCTTAGCGTGGCTCGACTAATTGTTGTGTTTAACATACCTTCAAATTCTTATAGCATTAGGCGTAGTTTACTTTTTATTCCGGTCACAGAGATGAAGTAGCAAGTGTAGACGGTAATATACTATGATTTAATATAAAATATTCATGCTCACGACTAAAAACCCTAATGACGACCAAAATTCTTGTCTTTTTTTAATAGATGATAATAAAATGGTAATCCCGCCCGTGCTACCGGTATACGCTGGCGGAGCATCAGTGAGGGATGATAGGTAACGATGAAAGCAGGTCATTTAGCTGATTGTATTTGCCGAATTCTCGAATTGCCGAATTCCATTAGAATTAATTATGTTAGTTTCCAGAGGGAATCGCGTGGAGGTCGACCTGATAGGGTGTATTGGTAGCAATGGGTCAGTTAGACCCCATTACTAACAATCCTTTTCCCCCCAAATTCATGTCAGATGCATAGTCCCCTGTTTTTGTTATTATGGATAATAATGTAATGGTAACCCCGTCTGCGCTATTGGTATACACTGACGGGGCACCAGGGATTAATGATTGCTGATGATGAAGCAGGTCAGTAAGCCTATCGTGGCATATTCCACAAGAATTAACCACGGTAGTTTTCAGGGGGAACCGCGTGGAGGTCGACCTGATAGAGTGTATTGCTAGCAATGAGGCTATTAGATCCCATTACTAACAATCCCTCCCCCCACTGTATCTGTCGTGATGTACGTAACATTTAGCGCGCATGCTTACCAAGTGAATAATACCGCCGTGTCCCACGTGACCACGGGTCCCACACGAGGATATACTAAATACTACTTTCATAATTTACCGACTTCAAAATAATAAAGGTCCTCACTTCGGTTATGTTTTGTTTGTTACCTCAGAACTGCATCGATCGTAGATCGACTTGGATTTTTTTATCTGAATGGATATACTTACAGATTAGTTTCATAGAAATTTTATTGAAATTAGTTTAGTATTTAAAACAAAATACCTTGTTTTGGCACAATTGAAGTTATTTTTTTATTGTGAAACAATCTCAAATTATTTTATTGGTTTATTTTATCAATCTACATTAAATATTGATATCAGCCCGCCAAACTGTATGAATAGTTTATCGTTGAAAGTTCACTTCGAGCATTTTCATAACTAATACATATATCGTTTGGTATAGTGCAAGGACTATAATACCCTTTTGGTGCGGAGTGTCAAGGTTCCTCCCTGTTGCACCGGCGCGGTGTAGGTACACGTACTGTGCGTCGTTTCCTCGATAGACTGTCGCGACACTCCACTGATGCAAATCAGTGGTGTCATTATAATTTGTATTCCTGTCACCATCACATACGGAAAATGCACACAATTCGCCCACGTGACACGGGATGAGCCTACTGCTCTCCTGAATGAATTCGGGCTGTACTATACCTAAGTACAGGGGCATCATTGAGAATTTATGTATTATTAGAACATTAAAGAACTGTCACTAGTGAAGAATACGTGTGTTTCACTTATATCCGCACCGAAGCTTACATGATGAGCCTGCCAGTGAGCGCAGACGGTTTCGGATTACTGTAATGCGAAGTCGCGAATTCGAGGAGAGTGCAAATTAAATAATCGTATAATATAACAAAAATATATTGTATTGTATTGAAAAATAAAAAATGGTTCCATGAAGAAAAAGAGTAAGTAATCATCGCACAAGTAGGATAAAATTATGCTTCGTCTTTATTAGAGAGAGTGACGCTCCAGGAATGATTTTCTGAGGTGTCCACGTGGGGGTAGCTCTATTAGATAGATGTATTACTAAAAATGAGATCACTAGTTTCTATTATTAATAATCCCTTCCCCCCTGTCAATTGGGATCTATATCAGGGTATGTATGAGGAAGTATGTCAGAATACTTTATTTGTAAAACATCTAAAATGAGAACGAGTAATGACAACCCTACGTAACTAACTAACCGCCTCCGCTAATAGACTGTAAATTAATGATCTGACATGTTTATCTAAAACTTCATATCGGAGCGAATTGCAAATCGCTGAATACAAATAATTATCGGTGTCGAATAGCATGTCGGTACAAGTTCGCATAAGAACTTCAACTACTTCAATAAGAACTTTCGACTGGATATGTACATTTCATAGAAGAGCAATATGGATTAATCAGAAACAGAATAAAACTTCTAATTGCTATAATAAATTACGAATTCAGCTAAAATTATGGTCGTAAGTAGTACAATAAAGCTCGCTAGTAGCATTACAATCAGGGATATATTGGTGCTGTATAGTGGAGGAGGAACACATGTGAAGGCAGGCGATAGTTGGCGCGTTTCTCCGATATTATGAATAATTCATCACGCGCGCTTGTTACCTGCACACACAGCCGCAGGCAGGCTCGCGTGCACAGCGAGCTCGCGAGGGGCACGCACACTGCGCCAACATAATGTGCGTATTATGTATGGGCGTCGAGTCCTGCCTAACTGCCGACCCTTACACTAAATCCACTTCTCGCAACACCGACCCTCAGCAAAGATTCGAGAATTATACAGAAAAATAATGGGTACTGTACGGTAACGGGCTAGCGGCGGCTCTGCGCCTCTGACGGTCGCGGCGGCGACGGCGCCCCCGGGCGGCCGCTTATTATTCCCACTCGGGAAACAGTGATGTGAGCACAATTACATGCGAGGGATTCGCACTATTAAGACACAAACATTTATGAGGCGAAAGTACAATATATTATATTTACGTCTTGGACGAATTAAACAATTAGCGCCAGACATCTCGCAGTACTGTTGCTAGTCTAAAATATTTTATCTGAGTAATGAGATGGCAATTGTAAAACGAAATGGATATATATGAAACGGCAGCGTGTAGAATAGTGCTGCTGTACAATGTAATAGAAGATCAAATTTTTAATGCTTATTAATACTTTATAAATCACAAATCCGGCCCCATATGGAGTGCAGCTGACAGCAACGGGCGAGACCACCTAGATACCAGCTTAAACCATTCGACTCAGCAACAACGAGCTATGAGAATTGTCGATGATCGCAGGTTTATAAGTGGTATCGAAACCTTAAGTCTTAGGAGAGATTTTGCCTCACTCTGCGTGTTCTACCGCTTGTACAACGGATTGTGTTAAGAGGAATTATTTAATATGATGCCCACGACCATTTTCTACCACTGTACAGCTCGACATAGACAGGGAGTTCACCGCTATACTTTAGAGCCTAGATGGAGACTCCGAGACATTCCTACCGCGAACGCTCCGGTTATGGAATGAGCTCCCTGTTGAAGTTTTCCAGAAGGTTTCAGCAGGGATTCTTAATAAAAGGAGTAAAAAGTTTTCTTCAGGGTCAGCAATGCACGAGATTTGCCTCTAGTATTGCAGGCGTTCATAGGCTATGATAACTGCCTACCATCAGGTGGGCCGTATACTTGTTCACCTAAGTGGTATAAAAAATTCAGAAAGGGAGCTATCTACGTTGTAATGGCAACAATACGATGTCATGACCGGAGACCGATATAGTCTCGAACGATTACGTAGGTATAGCGCTTCGGCCAGATCAGGTGATTTTTTCGCAATTTTCGGTAAAAACATTTTTAAACGGTTTTATTTAGCTCGACCTGTACGGTATTTATTTATTTGGGTCAAAATTAGAAATTGGAATTTAAGCACCTTCCCGTTGTCAGATTGATCTGAAATTTGGTACACACATTTAATTTAGATGACAATACAATATAATAAAATCAATAACATTATAAATCTAAGATGGCCGCCGATACAAAATGGCGGATTACATATTTTTCCTTAACCCCCGCAATATGGGTATCAAATGAAAGGGCTACACTAGTAAAACACGATGATTATGTCAAAATTTAAAATTCAAGATGGACGCCGTTCCAATATGGCGGACTAGGTACATATTTTTCCACAACCACCACAATATGGGTATCAAATAAAAATCGGTAAAAAAACTTTTAAGTTAAACGGTTTTATTTTATGTGCACTGAAAAGTACAAAATAAATAAATAGTTACTTACCTATCAACCTACGTAGGTGATCTCGGTCATTAATATCTCTGATGGTAGTGGTTGTCATAACATGAACCATGTCAGCGGCCGAAAGGCAGTTCATGAGAGAACACTAACACCAGGGTTTGCTTGGTAGGTAAACTAAGCAGCCCGCACTATAACAAGTAGGTATTTTGACCTTCTAGTTCAGAAATATTTTAGTACTAGGCAGAATAGCTTTTAGGCATATTAGACTAAAATAAAAACGTGGGGCCCCTCTGAAATCATACCTATAGCAGAGCATATCTTATACTTTGGTAGATCATGAGCTCGGCGTTCGCTGGTGTAGCCGTAACGGCTGGTTATTGATGGTCAAAACCTCCAGTTACGATTATAGTAAGTCGATTCAGCGGACCCTTGGCTCCGGAGCTACGAGGTTTCGGATGCGACCGGGATAAACCGCTAGGATGATGATGATGACGATTATAATAAGTCGATGCAATCCACACTTAGTATAGTAGAAAGTAATACAGAAATAGTTAATGGGCCCCACGTTTTTATTTTAGTCTAATATGCCTAAAAGCTATTCTGCCTAGTACTAAAATATTTCTGAACTAGAAGGTCAAAATACCTACTTGTTATAGTGCGGGCTGCTTAGTTTACCTACCAAGCAAACCCTGGTGTTAGTGTTCTCTCATGAACTGCCTTTCGGCCGCTGACATGGTTCATGTTATGACAACCACTACCATCAGAGATATTAATGACCGAGATCACCTACGTAGGTTGATAGGTAAGTAACTATTTATTTATTTTGTACTTTTCAGTGCACATAAAATAAAACCGTTTAACTTAAAAGTTTTTTTACCGATTTTTATTTACAGTTATTTTTTGTAAACCATATAGCGGTATGTAAATGCAGTAAAATATAGTGAATTTCGACACAAGTAAACGATTGGATAAAAATGAAGTAAATCGTATCAATTTAGAGAAAAATATTTTGACATTTGGATAAAAATACAAATTACTTGTGGCAACATTGTTCTAATGGCGTCAGTTACCCATGCAAGTCGTCTAATATTTATTTTTTATGATGATATAAACTTGTAATTACATGTAATTTGTAGATTTGTGGAAGGCCTAGGTTACAAATCCCGACGCTACACAAGTATGTGTATAAATTCGTAGGTGAGTAGTAAGAAATAGTATCTAATACAATCATGAGTCGGGGCAATAGAATCAATAAGAAAAGATAAAGTAAATTATCGATGTGCTACGATAGTCATTACGACGCTACGACCGTAGCACAGTACGGGAGGTGCTACAGTCTACACATGTATGGTGGCACGCCGCACCTTATGTTAATCGTTTGCTACGATGTACGTAACAATATTAAGTAATGATAATCCAATAATTAAACTTAATAATGCTAATAATGAGAATATAAGACATTTTGAAAAAAACCTAACGATCGAGAGTCAATACCTAATACGAGGGTTAAGGGGGCAAGGGTTCTTGGTATTGGGGATTAACAGGCTTAGAAATAAACCCTGTCAGGTCGATCTTCTCGCAGTCTATAAATTATCACGATTAATTCCTAATGAATTCATCACGATGGACTAACTGATCCGATGTCACCTTCGCATGTCATCCTTTACTTGGCAGCATAAACCAATAGTATGCATAGGGTTACCATTCATATGTGGATAAGACGCCGTCAAGAAGATTAAAGGTTTATATTAGGGAAGCAAATACCGCTATTCGTATTTATGATACAAAAACAATTTTTAAACTCAAATAGTTACAAGTATAATACGTCTTCGAAACGTCTACTCTTTCGTTCATTGGTTTCTTTTATCACAGTTGAAGTCGCCGTTCTTGTTTGCGTAGTAAAATGTACTTGTTATGACTATATACATTTTATTGTGATTTTGAGTTGCACACTAAACGTTTAGCCGATTGCGTGTAGTGCGTCGCGGGCGCCGTGGGTGCGATGCGGTGGTCGTGGTGCGCGGGCCGAGTGCTGAACGTGGCGGCGGCGCTGCTGCTGGCCGCCGGGCTGCCGGTGCCGGCGGCGGCGCCCGCGCGGCCCTGCGCCGCCAACGCGCTCTGCCTCTGCCGCGCCGACCACCTGGCCTGCGACCACGTGCCATTCCACAGGTTCCCTCACACTGGTACATTTGGAATACTCATTACGTATTGCATTGCGTGACAGACATTTCCGCTCAGTTTAGTCTAAGCACTTAGTTTATTGAGCCGAAATTTCTGTGACAGCGACAGGTAGTGAGATGTGTGCATGTGTGCAGTTGTGTATAAACACACGTACGGCACATCTGGCTGACATTAGTTACAGCTCTTATATAAATTTCAATATAAAATAAAAAAAAAAAAACAGTCTTAAGTCTTATACTACTTGAGAATTCATTAGAAAGAGAACGTTTCACTAAAAGACTCACCGGAACATAAAGTAACAGTTTCACACTGCTGCAGCTGTGTGAAACTTTTGTGTGCTGTGAAGAAATTTTTTTAACAATATAATTTATAGAAATATAGGAATTACGCGATTTATTGGCAAATATGCTTATATAAAATCAATTAGAAAAATATTAAATGTATTAAAAGAAAGAAGAGACTTTAATTTTTTAATGTTGGTCCAGACGAGGTATTCAAATAAAAAGTTACGTTTACAAATAACGTTACACATAAACGTAAAAAAATAAAGTATAAATAAACGTTTTAAAGGCCAGGTCAAAATGTAATAGGAAAAACATAGGGCTCCGACAAAAGCATAGATATTTTCACATTTATAACATTTGGTCAGTTTTTTAGCCAGGATGTTGAAAAATATATCAAAATGCGCAGAATTATTTCAGCTACAATTTCCCCTTTCAATGTTTTTTTTTTCTATTCCATGCATAGTTTTAAAATAACTTGCCAAAACTTTTAATCTCCTGAGGCCCTTTGTCCTTCGTTCAGAGGTGATTTTTTTTACAAAGACATTTTAACTCAATAAACAACTATGCCAATTGTCAACGTTACAGTATTTTGTCCATTTCTGCCTTTCGTTTAATTGGCCTATAATTATGATGTTCCATTTGTATAATGGTCTTTGTAATTTACATAATGTCATAATGCGTGATCGAATCGCTTGCAGAAGCGGACACGTGGCACGTGTCGGTGTCCCGGGCGCACCTGGGCGCGCTCGGCGAGACGGCGCTGGACTCGCGCCGCCTGCGCACCCTCGTGCTCGTCGCCTCGCGCCTCCACCACGTCGACACTGGCGCCTTCTCGTGCGTATCTACTGCACTCGTATACGAGTAGAACACGTTGTGACGGGACGGCATAAGAATTGCACCCAAGAATAATAAATAACTTTCACTTGCAGGTCGATGACTTCCACTCTTGCATCTTTAGATTTAGGATACAATGAATTTACAGAAATACCCATTGAAGCTCTCCAGGAATTGAGGGTGTTGAATTGGCTCAATTTACAAAAGTATGTCTCGATTATCAAATAGAAACGAACGATTATGTGTAAAGATTTTAAATTAATATTGATTTAATATTTCAGCAACTACATAAGCGACATAGATCCAACGATGGACTGGGGATTTCTGTCGGAATCTTTAAGTAGCTTGTCCCTTAGTAACAACCACTTGGTGGTGCTGCGAGAAGGGGCTCTGTCGCAGCTCCGAAGGCTGGCTCAGCTGGACCTAGATGGGAATCGGCTGCGCTCGCTCGCTGCCACCGCTTTACCGCCCACACTTGCGCTGCTACGCTTATCTGACAACTTACTCTCCCATGTGCCCTGTGCCTCTCTCGAACTTTTGCCGCGTCTGCAGCATTTACATCTTCGTAATAATGTATTGAGATCCGCCTTCAACCGAACTTGCCGCATTGACTACTCGAAAATAGATTCACTCGATTTGAGCCACAATGAACTTGATGACACGTTTCAACTAGATTTTCAAAATAGAATTCAAATAAAACAACTCATATTAGATTTGAACGAGTTCACAGTCATACCCTCATTCGTACTTGACAGCGGTCGCCTGGAAAAATTATCTGTATCTTACAATAAACTAAAATACGTGTCAGATATGAGTATAGAATCGTTGAAGCACAATCTAGAGAGACTAGACTTAGATCATAACGAGTTGACATCGCTTCCAGAAAGCTTAAGGGAAATGGCTCGCATGCGGTATTTGTCATTAGCATACAATCGTTTAGAGGACATGATTGCTTTGCCGCCCAATCTCCACTCACTATCATTAACGAGCAACTACCTGACGTCTTTTCCTATGGCTTTGAATGATTTAGCGGATGCTACATTGGCATATCTAGACCTTGGCTACAACCAAATATCCGTGGTGTCGGGCGATATGTTCGGTCCATGGTCGGATGCATTGGTGACACTTAGCTTAAAAGGCAACAGGTTGTCGCACCTGGCAGCCGGTTCCTTTCCATCCACGTTGCCACTTCGCGAGCTGGTGCTCAGTTTCAATGACCTTTACAGCGTGGAAGCAGATGTTTTTGTAAATCTTACCATGCTTGAAGTGTTGGAGCTGTCGTCTACGCTATTCAGTGGCGAATTTCCAATTGCTACGCCGATAGACAAACTGAATTGGCTCAGTTTGAATAACAATAATATTCACTTTTTGTCATCTAAAGAAATTGAATTGTTTTCTTCCTTGGAATACCTGGATTTGGATTTTAATAAAATTATAGAATTTCCAACAGAAGCAATCAAAACGAATACTTCGTTCAGGTTGAAAGAGCTAAGGTTATCGTATAATTATGTAAGTAAAATAAACACGGAATTTCTTGCTGATCTAATAGAGTTGGAGAGCGTTGATTTGTCTTACAATCGCATGCACAACATTAGCGAGCGTAGTTTTGCAAATTTACCAAACTTAGTTTATTTAAGTTTAGCCGGAAACGTCGTAGAGTACGTCGCCGAGAGAACATTTTACAATTTGCCCAAATTAGAAGTGTTGGATTTACAACAGAATCAATTAACTGAATTTTCCACTGAATATTTTGACAATGTGTCCAAAGAGGATATTAATTTTTCAGTAAACGTTAGTTATAATAGAATATCGTACCTAAGTAGCGAACGCATGGTGCTCATTAATGTTTTAGATTTATCGCATAACTTAATAGAAAGTATATCTGAACATTTTTGTAATTGTCTCGGCTCGAGTATAAGGCAACTAATACTTTCATATAATCTGTTGACTAATATAGATAGCTTCAGTTTTGGTTCTTTACCAAAATTGGACATATTGAGCTTGAATAATAACAAAATAACTGCATTGAAAAAAAGAAGCTTCACTTCTAAAAGAGCACTTTTAGAAATGCATACAATACAAGTGCTAGACTTGTCGCGTGACAGGTTGACGCAGCTCTCGCCGGAGCAGTTTCAAAATATGCGACGATTGCGGCACTTGCGACTGAATGCCAATGAACTGCGATCATTACCGAGAGATTCATTTAAGAATACAGTGCTGGAACACCTAGATCTTAGCCAAAATCAAATAAGCATATTTCCTAGTAGCGCTCTCACGCATGTGGGCTTTACTTTGCGGCGATTAGAGTTGGCGCACAATCAATTAGAATATCTCGATGCCGCTATGTTTCATGCTATCTCTTTCCTTCACGAATTGAATCTGGCGAATAACGCCCTCACTGTACTCTCAGATAATACATTCGCCGGACTTTCACGTCTGATGGTTTTAGATCTCTCATTTAATGCTATTAAAACCAATTTCAAAGAATTGTTTCATAATTTACCACGATTGCGTCGGCTCGGTCTCGCCGGTATTGGGTTAAAGTCTATTCCTCATCTGCCCCTCGCTAATCTGACAGAACTGAATCTGAGTGATAATCATATATCTTCTTTTCGCGAAAGCGAAGTTCGCCAGCTCGGCAACCTGCGTGTACTCAATCTAGCTCGCAATAGGCTCACCTCGCTGCAGCCGGCCATGTGGACGATACTTAGACAACTAATATTTCTCGACGTATCCCACAACCCGATAGTTCGTATAGCAAGAGGTTCATTCGACGGCCTCGATCGTCTATTACATCTACGTATGGATCACTTAAGGCACCTCGAGACTATCGAGCCTAGAGCATTTTTGTCTTTGACATCTTTACGTACAGTGGTTCTTGAGTCGCCTACGAATGCGGAGCGAGGAGACGTAACTCTAGCCGAAATAGTAGCCTCCACGCTCGCAATTGAGTCACTTTCAGTGCACGTGCGGGACAAAGTTTTGGACAAACAACTTCACAATATGCGGGCAATGAAATTGCGAGCGATTGAAGTAAAAGGTGCGGCGCTGAAACGAGTGTCTGAGGACGCGTTCATCTCGCTCGGACAGCAGCGAGCACTCGCAGTACGACTGACCGATTCCAGCATCAACGCGTTGCCAGTGGGACTCGTGCGGCCTCTAGCACGCGTGCCTCATCTCGCACTGGACGTGAGCAATAACCGGCTCACCACATTCAGTCCTGCAACGCTATATCCGAACCTCACCGGATGGAATCGTCTCGCCACAAGACTGCTACCAGGTGAGCAAATATGAACACATGAATCGATACATTTTTGTAATAATATTTGATTTAATGTTACAATAGTGGCAAATAAGCATTGCAAAATGGCTCATTTGATGATAAACTCTTACAATATGCCTATGGATACTTGCAGCGCGAGGAGTAGCACATGCGCGTTGGCTACTCTGAAAAAACAATAACAAACACTTGTAGAAAATCCTATGTAGTAGTCCGTTATTTCGAAAATGTGATAGGTATTTAAATAATAAAAAAAAAATTGTTGTTAAATAATATGACTAAACAGTATAATTTATAATTATATAACTGTCTTGGTTCATTTACATTTATTTTTATTGGCTCTACATATGCTTTTTTGTTTGGGATTACTCAACTGGTTATAGTCCTCACACGGCCTCGCCACATCTGTACACCGGCCGTGAAAGGATGAAAATGCGACTATAAATATAATTAGTTTTATGTTTTTGCAATAGGTGGTTTAGTGGTATCTGGTAACCCGCTGCGGTGCGGTTGCTCGGTGTCGTGGGTGGGCGCGTGGCTGCGCCGCTGGACCGTGGAGGTGGGCGGCGGGTCGCGGAGCGCGCGCGACGCCGCCCGCCGCAGCACGTGCCGCGCGCCCGCCGCCGCTGGGGCCGCCGCCACCGCTGCCGTCGCCGGCGCCGCTCAGCCGCTGCTGGTGCTCGACGCCGACGAGGCCGAGTGCCACGCTAGCGCGCTCTCCAGCGGAGCGCTTAACATGCGTCACTTTCGTCTCTCGGCTTTTCTTTGGATTGTGCTCCTCCACTCGCTCAGTTAGTGATCAGTGATTCCTATTATAAATAGTTTTGAACAGCGTGGAATTTATGTATGACGTATTTTTATATTCGTGTTCGGTTTGTTATAGGAAAACAAATTTGTTTGAGATTTTGTTTTACTCCGTTTGAATTACACAGTGACTATACATTTATACAAACGCTTATAATAACAGTGTGCTGTGCTGTGTTGTGCTGGTGATGGTGAAGGGACGAAAAAGTGATTATTATGTAGAATATATGCAGATAAAATTTTCTACATGGCGAAATATTTGAAGAGTATTTACTTTGATTTGAGTGCGAGGTGAATGTGTGTAAAATATATCTAACTATATATGATAAAAATTTAATTTCCCATTGTAAGTAATAAAAAAGACGTGTCTAACGTAATTACCTAATTACTCGCCGTGTATATATATATATATATATATATATATATATATATATATATATATATATATATATATATATATATATTAATGTGTATTATAATCAAAGCTGATATTAATTTACTATTGTATGCAACGACTAAGATAAAATCATGTCCAAGATTAACATTATTAAATTAAGTACATTGTGTTATTATGGTAAAACATAATATTCAATAAGTGAATAATTTTAATATTAGTTTAAGAAAATTTGTAACATAGATGTGGTACTTCGAGTGCACGACTCGACACTCGGTCCCTTTATAAACTTTCATTTGAATAGTGCTTAACTATGACATGAATAACGATTGGAAATTACTCATTGCATTACATCTAATATTAATAACAAATCTCTTAATGCAGAGATACGGATATGTAGTCGTCACACTGTCTATGACGTAGAGCCGGCGAGATATTTTCAGCGCGCCGCAGCCAAGTGCTGTGTATAGTATGTTACAGTGGTGTAATTTATAACATATTTGTACATAGTAGGTAATGTGATAAGAGAAAATAAACATTTATATTTTTTTAATTAGTTTTATTAACATCGTTGACCTTAGATTAGTACTACGTGAGACACTCTGTTGCACTGTTAGGTAAGTTCAGTTCGTAGTACACTGTGCCACCGTATTACGAAGGTAGTCTGACAGCTTTACTCCTTTGAATTGTCTTCCAAAAGAGTGAAGTTGACTAGTTCTGTTTATTTCAGCCATAATATTTTTCTCATGAATACTGTACTTGACGATAAAAAATTAAAATTCCTCTCCCTCCCTCTCTACAATCGCGCTGTATTTATAAATTTCTCGTGAACAATTTGTTTGTACACTAGGACATAGTTTTTAGGATAATTACATTAATATGGAAGACTAAAGTATTTCATTCATTCATTTAATAAAAATATCCTGTAAATAGACGAAAGCTCGATAAAAATCTTTTGTATTCAATAATATAGTAAGCGCCGCTATTAATTGTTAGGTAGGTGTAGTAATACAGTGCATGTGTCGTGCGAGGTGGGCGGTACGATTAGTGCTAGTTGCAGCTAGCGAGTGGCTCCGTAATCAGTGGAATATTATGTCGATCTAGCGGCCGCGAGCCACCAGTGTGGACGCCATTCCGCGGCCAGTCTCTGCACACTGCGCGCCACGCGGCGTCACCGAGACGATAAATTACAAGTATTTATTTATTTATTTATTTATTCATTAGTACAAATATGTGTACATGGCGGACTTAATGCTAAAAGCATTCTCTCCCAGTCAACCATAGGGAAGTGTCAGAATACTCGAATGCGGTACTACTAATTATTGATATACATACGTACTAAAATTACATATATAAACGAATAAATATATATAAATAACAAATATACTTACACATATATGACATATACTATATTATACACGAAATTGAGAATAATATAAAGTACTTACTGCTCGGATAAAAATAAAAAGTGTGCGTTAACGCTTTTTTTATAAGTATGTGTTGTTGTATGAAACGTCGATTCATTTATGAACACATTTACATACATAGATAATACAAATTATATTGAAAATATTTGAAGTTGTCCTTCTGCCCTTTTATTAAGAGGCTCCTCTATACGTACGTCATTAAAGCTTTTTCATGTTTTCAAATTGAAGTAAGTTCTGTAAAGATTTACAGCAACATCTAAACTAGTATTGCCATTAGTTTTTACTTTATCATTTAGTAATTTTTATGCGATTTACAATGGGAGTAATTTGCTCACATCAACCTGTATTTTTTGCGATGATCTTAATAAATGAAATCCGAACCGATTTTGATTATAGTGTTTACTTCCGTGTTGGTCCCATACTCGTTATATGATAATTAATCTTCCTATTTTTGACTGCATGTTGCGATGCAAAACTTACTTGTAGGTATACGATTCTGCATTTTAAATACCCAACGTATATTTATGGCAATATGTCCATAAATAAAATCAATGGTTTAAATGGTAGGTATCGTCAAGATTGAAGTTACTGTTCTTATACAAAATGTACTTGTGTATCAACTAAACGGATTGCTACGTACGAGCTGGCGGCCGGCGACGGGCGCCGCGCACCCCTCAGCTACTGTACGTAGCGCGCGACTACGGCGCGAGCTACGAACACATACCACCGGAGGGTTTTATTATATTAAGTAATGCACTGTATACATATACGTTTATATAACACTTTTTAAAAACATATGTACATTAATAAAATGTTTCTAGTACTCACAGCATATACTCTACTGAATGTTTGACTACTTGGATCTGTGTGATGTGTTCAGTATTTAATAAAAATAAATTTTACCACTTATAGCGGGCACGAAATTCAATGGTCTAGACTGCTGAACAGGTAATAAAATAATTCCACTTCTTGTATATAATCAGGGACTATCAATTTTCAAACGAGCATGCGGCTACCGTGATGGTAAGTGATTACCGTCGCCCGTCGTCGTCGTTGCACCCGCAACGCCAGAGAAATTGTAGGCATATTGCCGGCCGTTTAGGAAGGTACGAGTATATACTCTATTCTTGAAGGTTACGATATCGTATTTATTCGATAATACTGCTGCTGAGTATTGGATTCATACTTTGTTAGTGCGTGAAAAAAAAAATACGCGAGACACGCACAGTGGAGGAGCGCCGCTCATACAGATGGTCGGGATGAAACTGTTACAGCAGTCAGCGCTCTTAATGAAGAGGAAACCCTAGTTCATTTATATTATAGACCATTTTCAATTTTCGTTAAGTTATAATACTACATCTCCTTTGTGAATATGAACACAATAGTAGAGTCCCTATGTGATGAAATGGAATGGGGACACGATTCCATGGTGTGTTTGCGGTGACGTTGTGTCCCACAGGTGGCATGTACTCGTAACAGCGGACGATACAGCTGCGGCGTGTCCTGTGTCCTGCGTCGTCTGTAATCGCTAGAGGCCTCTATACACTTTGATATTCATGTCGTACATGATAACTGTATTCAGCGATTAGTTCCGGGGGTGTTAACACATATTAATATGCCCGGATCTGCTATTATTTGGAGTTCTCGTGAGACTAAATATTGTTATGTGAATATTAATAAATTTCTTATATATATATTTGTATTTCAAGCAGTTTTCCCTTGGCATACCCTACTCTGTTAATAATGGAAATGGTGGGATACAATACACTGGAGGCGAGGAGAAACAACGATCGTCACTTATGTCTTTAAAGTTTTAAGAGATAAGATTGTAAATTCCGTCATATTGGCTAACGTGAACTTTTCTGTGCCAAACAAATATACTCGTGCTAGACGTCACGTGTTATTTGCCGTGCCTAAGGCTAAAATAAATTTGCGCCATCCCGCACCCTTCATTAAAGCACTTGTTTTATTAAATAATATTTCGAATAGAGGTACTGATCTCCTCCATATGTTCTCTGACGGAATCCACAATGGCTGCAATGTTTTGTATTTGTTACTGTAAAATTTAACCAATATTGTTTGTTGTACTATATCGAATTGGAATGTAAGGACATGGAAACAAGGAAATGAAATAAATAAATAATTATTAATTAAAAGTGTATAAGTACATCATGTTTATTAGAGGGAGACTTTGTACAAAAATCGTTTGCTTGGGCACCTCTGTCCCATTCGTGTTTCTACCGTGACGTAGTTGTGTTTGCATGGCTGTGTTTCGGTTTTAAGAGTGGGATGTGGCAGTGAATTTACTGGGTACAGAGGAATAACACCTGAGTCCTCAGGAATAACAACGCATGGGGCATCATGGGCGAAACAGTGATGATACAAAATTAAGAAATAAGTTCATACAGACAAGTTAGAGGTTGGAAAATCCATTATCATATTGAAAACGTAATAATAATAGAAAAACAATTATTGGACGTTGCCTAATGAAAGATCTACAAATTATAGGTGTTTAATTTTTTTTTTTATTATTTTAAAATAACGTTGTGCTCAAGTGATAATTAAACGCGGCTGACACTGGCCGTGACTGACTCTTACGGAATATTTATAATATTGGAATAGATTAGGTGAATACCGAATTCGGCAAATGAAATTAATACTATGCGTGCATATTAGTGAAGCATTTCATTAAGGTAGCTCATATCTTACAAATTAATTTTGCATAATAAAAGTGCCGCATATTCTTTATTTTATTGGAATATCTTATTATAACTTTTTACCGACTACTGGAACTAGCGGAGTTACAAATAGGTGCGTGTCTTATTATTGGATAGACGTCGAAACTAGGTGAGAAGGTGGCGCGCGTGAGTTACGATGATGGATGTAAACATTATGTGCTTCAATCACCAACTGATCCTCGGCGAAATCGAATTGCGTGCGGCGGATAACGCGCGCCTCACACCCGCTCGCACGTTATTATTATAACATATTTTGTTTGCTATATTTTAGAATGGAATAAAAAAATGAGTATGAGCAGGTCTGTGCCGCGTCAAGTTTGCAGCTTAAGCTATATATAATAATACCCAAATTCGCAAAAAAATAATTGGTTGAAGTTATAATATGTATAAACATCTAAATTTATAAGAAAATATATCTATCGTCCTAACTTCGTAAGCATAGCTTCAATAAGTAAGTAAACAGCTCTTGAAATATATATTATAACAAGCACTTTTCAAGAAATTTCCTGTGAAGTAAGTGAATAATGACGGTATTAGAGGAAGCTGCTGTGAATATAAACTGCAGATAAGCGATAGACGCGTCGGGCCGTGTCCGTGTTTGTTCGGTTGACGGCCGGCGCGACGGCGGCGGCAGCGGCTGCGGCGGCCGCACAGCGCGGCACGGCGCAGACACTGCGGCCGCGGCGGTCGTGGCTCATTGTTATTCAAGATGTAGTGACTAACATTTTATTTCAATGTATCGCTCCGTTGACTCCACAATCTGTTACATACAAATTTTCGCTCTAATACAGGGTGCAACCGTTAGCAGCTACTTAAGGGGAGTGTTGTTCTAGTGTTTGACATTCTTACAAAACAAACATAGAATTAAATGTT